TAAAACAAGCTGAGGATTGTTGTCATGCTTAGATTCTCATACATCATACTTAGTTTCTCAAGTATGATGCTAAGCTACAGGGAGGTTAAGTGACTCTCCAAAGGTCACACAGCTAGTTAGCATCAGCCTGGGCAGCAGTCATCCTGTCTCTGCAAGCTCCTGAAATAAATTATCCCCCTCACCACAGAGGTAATTCTCAAATTCCATCCTCTGGACGCTAATGGCTGCATGGCACTTTCCATGAATGTCCTCCAGTCTCTAATTACCTGCCTATCTCAGTCCGAGTGAATTCCAGGACATAAGACTTAGATTTTTCAGCTGACCTTCTCTAATATATAGCAATATAATGAGGGTGCTTACATTCTATGACATAATATTTCTGCTATAACTGTTTTGGGGCATTTTAAGTGGTGTTATATTTGGGCCTCAGGACTGTACTTATCCTGTACTAAAGGTACATTTTAAAAACCAAATAAGGAGGAGAAGAAAGTCTAAAAAGACTTAAAAGGTACTTGGGAATAAAGACTCTTTAATATATTCTATTCTGCATCTGTTAAATGCTTGTCTTTATGTAATTGGCTGCCCTGGGTTTTAGTTACAGCATGCAGACTCTTAGCTGTGGGATCTAGTTCCCCCAACCAGGGATTGAAGCCAGGTCCCCTGCATTGGAAGCACAGAGTCTTAGCCACAGGCAAGTCCCTATTCTGCATATTTTAATCATTAAACCGTTTTATTCTCAAACCACAGTTTCTGTCGTCATATGGGGAACCATGACTGTCAGAGAAAGGAGATGGGCCTTGGGGGTTGGCAATGAAATCTTCCATCACAAAAACATTTGGAAGAAAGGTCTTTAAGTCCACTGTGCAGGGGAGTTTCACTTTTCTCTTTGAGAACATGGAAGAGCAGGAGGGCTTCCTTCATCACTCCAGCATGAGGTTTGTAAAACTGCCCCCAGATCACAGACCACCAAGTGTTCTTCCAAAGACCCACTAAGAGGTCTCTCTGACTAATGGTATGGAAAGTTCCCACCTCAGCTTCCTTATCCAAAGCATTTTTGGATGAGAACACTCAACAGTATTGCTCTCCGTGTAGCTTTTCCCACTGGGACATGACCACCAAATGACACAACTCTGGATAGGCCCTCCACTCGCAGAGACAACCCACAGCTGCCCACTGCCCCTGGGGTAAAGTCCTAATCCTTCTACCTGACCCATTATAATACAGTCCAGGACTACCAGTTTTATGCCTGACACTATTCTGTGTTTGACACAAATCTGAGTATTTCCTATTCACAAACACCTAAAGTTCCCTGCTGTCTCATTTGCTCAAGTCACTTTTTCCACCTGAAATATTCTTTCCCTTCTCTGTTTATCTGATTCCAATGCAATATCAAAGACCAACTCAACAACTTACTCTGGGAACTTCCTTGGCAGTATAGTGGTTTAAAATCTGCCTTGCAATGCAGGGGATGCAGGTTCGATCCCTGGCCAGGGAACTAAAATTCCACACACATTCAGGAAACTAAGCCTGTGCCCCACTATTACTGAGCCTGTGTGTTGCAGCAAAGAAGCCAAGTGATGCAACTAAGACCCCACACAACCAAATAAATATTTCTTTAATGTAATTTGTCCCCAATTTAGCTATTTATAAATGTGTCTTCTTCCTCCTTTTAAATTATGTTATATAGAGTTTAAGGCAACAAATGTGTTTGTGGCAGATGCTCAATGCATTCAGTTAGGTATGCAGATAAATCTCACATGTCCACAGCACAGTCTCAGAGGCAGGAAGGTGCAATAGGACCTCATGGGTAATCCTGCCCAATGTCAGCGGGTTAATCAGTAGAAGAGCAGCAAGAACACTGACCTTTCTGGCGTTTACACTTTGCAACTGATTTGTTTTTCTCCAGTGTATGACCCAAGGCCTTAATCCTTCGCCTCAGTTGAGTGTATACATCCACTACATCAGTGCAAAGTTAGGAAGGTTTTTCTATAGGGTTCATGAAGTTTTGAAGTAATAATAACACTAACATTTTTTCCTAGAAGATTCTGTCATTCTTACAAGGTTGTGTGGCTCAGAAGTAGTTAAGGGGGAAAAAAGAAGTAAATAAGATAGGCTTCCCTGGTGGCTCAGATGGTAAAGAATCTGCCAGCAATGCAGGAGGCCTGAGTTCAATCCCTTGCTCAGGAAGATTCCCTGGAGAAGGGAATAGCACCCCACCCCAGTATTCTTGCCTGGGAGATCCCACAGACAGAGGAGCCTGGCAGGTTACAGTCCATGGGGTGGCAAGCATTCGGATACGACTGTGTAACTAACATTTTCACTTTAAGGAAAACAAATCCCAAATAAAAAGTCAAGATCCCACATGGAGGACAGAGGCCTGTCTTATAAAGAGACGTTGTCAGGTTCACCTCAGTTCCCAGGGCATGTCCAGCATGGCGATCTCAGGGATCCACTGCTCCCGTATCCTCTGTAACTAAATGGGTTCCTGGTGTATGACTGACCTAATGGAGATCTGACCTAATGAAATGCACCAAGGAGTGTCACCAAGGCTGTGAAGCATGAACCTGGGTTTCTCAAGTCAATGTAACAGAATCTGAGCTGTGCCGGCTGGAGGCTGGGCCAGAAGGCTATCTGGTAGCCAAGGGCACTGCCAGGGCTTTAGAATAACAGTACAAGGTGGTAATCAGATGCCATCCCACCACATTTAGCCAGTTAATCATCACAATCATCCATCTTTTATTCATTAACATGGAGGAATGACGTTTTCTTTGGCCACTCACTTTGCCCTTTCAGGTTACACCAATATTATGCGGTCCCAATTTTTTCCTCTATGTCTCATAAAATGCACCCAGTTTTAGCATCTTGTCACTGCAGACGTCAGTGCGAACACAGGAATGGGATGGCCAGGTCACTGTTGCTCCCAGAGTCAGCAGGAGCATCTGTATAAGGGCAAGTCTTTAAGTAGTTCTTCCTGGAGCTTCCTTAAGAAGACTGCACGTTCACGGAGATGTGAGACAAATAACCACATGATCCAAGGCAGGAGCCTACCTTACTGAACAGTATCCCTTACAGTTATCTCAATCATCCATTTATTTCAGCCTTGAAGGAGAAGGTTAAACATGGCAGGATTATTTGCACGTGCATGTGTGCGTGCTCAGTCATGTGCGTGCTCAGTCATGTCCGACTCTGTGAGCCCATGGACTGTAACCCTCCAGCCCCCTCTATCCATGGAATTCTCCAGGCCAGAATACTGGAGTAGGATGCCATTTCTTCTTCCCGGGAATCTCACAGACACAGGGATTCGAACCTGCATCTCTTGTGCCTCCTGCATTCTGCACTGGCAGGCTGATTCTTTATCACTAGCGCCTCCGGGGAAGCCCAGGATTATCTATTTTATGTCTCAAGGTTAAAAATTCAACAGAGTATTCTTCAAAATACCAAACCAACCAGACTTAATCACCAGTGGAGCTCAACCACATGGCAAGTCCATACCACCTCCAGGGATGCCCTCCTTCCACAAGTACAGAAACACAAAGCATGGGCAAGGAGCGATATCAAAGACCTCTGTGCAAAGAACATATTGTACATGTTATTTTGTCCCTGGGCTCTACCTCGACGTTTGACACCTACGTAGCAGACTTCATATAGAAGGGATTAAGAACAAAGGCTTTGGCACGTACAATACTTATAAATTTTTTAAGGCGACACATGTTTGAGAGAGAGGACCATTTTAACAAGTATTTGTTGCTGTCATGTCATGCAAATGTCTTTTTCCTTAGCTTTATTTCAAATTCCATGGTTGAAATTTTTGATGGAAAACAAGAGGTTCTGTTTGTGCAAACAGAAAGGAGTGTACATGAGGGGCAGAGTGTGTTTTGTTTGGCAGTTCTTGAGCTACCATTTTGGTTTTTGTTTTTAGTGCTGGAGGGAAGCAAATCGGCAAGTAAGGCTCTAGTTAGCTTCCTGCTGTTTTTAAAGTCAGTTACTATGGGTTAAAACGTCTGTGATGCATACAGAATTAGCACTCCACTTCTGTTAAGAATGAAAGCTTAATGTCTAATTTCAAACGTTCCCTGAATATACTTCCTCTGTCTAATCATACATTAACTTCCACCAACTTTTATAAAGTATACACAAATGGATTATTAGGAGAAAAAACAAAGGTTTTGGAATCAGATATTCTGGGTTTAGCCCTCACTAACTGTATATAGCCTTAATGAATCTCTAGGGCCTCAGTTTCCTCACCTGCAGAGCGTGAATAATAACGACACAAACATACATGATTACTGTGATAATTGATTGAATTAGTACATGGGAGGTGCATGGTCAGTAAATGTTAGCTATTGTTTGGATTGTCTTGAATTTAGCTAGGATCCATTGTTTTCAGGGGTTATATAGACCCTGGGAAGACATGGCTTTAGTCCACCTGTAACAAAAGAGAAAGAACACATATTATATCTTTTTTTTTTAATGTCCAAGTTTCTAGACCCGTGGTTCTCCAAGTCTGGGCGGGGACCTCTGGAAATCCCCCAAGAACCAAGACCCCAAGATTCAAGTCCTTAAGGTCAAAACTATTTTCATAATTACAGTAAACTGTTCTGTGCCCTTTCACTCTTGTTTTTTTGTGAGTATACAATGGAATTTTCCAGAGGCTACATGCTATGTGATGATGTCGTCACTGAGTTCATGGAATGTGAGCTTGTACATTCTTGCGCTTTTTTATAGTCCTCAGTCATCCTTTCCAACACTGTAAATAGCAGTAGCTATAACCACATAAACCAATCTCTCCAGGGTACTCAGTAATTTTTAAAAGTCTAAAAGGTGACCCAAAAGTTTGGGAACCTCTGCTAGATTATCTCACATGAAAGTACCTCATTCCCTCCTCCATTTCAAAATCTGTAGTGTGAAAACAGCAAACTCGGTCCTTAATTTTGAGACTCTGGCCCCAAGGTCAAGCCCCTGAAGCTGCTCTGACTGCATTTTGTCCTCTTGTGTTTCAGGTTGTCTGGGTCTGACCTGCCGGGTGACGAGTGGCTCTGGGATTTTGAGAAGCACGGTCATCGCCATTCGGTGATTAGAAGGGTCAAGAGGTTCCTGAGCGCTCATGAACACGCCTCAAGCCCCCGGAGGAGAAGCTACGGGAGGCAGGCCAGCGACAGCTCCATGTTCTTCCCCCCGAGCGACCTCAGCCCGACCAGGGATCTGCTGGATGTGCCTCCAAGAAGCCATCACCGTGCCTCGGCTGCCGGGAAGCACCCCCGGTCCCCAAAGGGGAGCCCCAAGCTGCGCTCCAGCCTGGGAGAGCTGTCCACCATCCGAGAGACCAGCCTGAGTCCACAGTCCAGTGTGAGGGGCTCCCCCACCAAAATGCCGCAGGTCCCCGAGGCATTGGCCACAGCCACCAAAGCACTAGTGCCTGTGGCAGAGCACGACCACCGTGACTCCACGGCCTCCATCCAGAGCTCCGACTTCACAGGGGTTCAGCCCAGCAGGCCTGAGCAGCAGGAGGACCCTGTGGAGTCGGTCCCGTTCTCCTCCGAGAAAGGGGTGCCTCCTAGGGACCCTCGCTCCCAGACTGTTCCAGCCAAAGCTGAGAGAAGCAGCCTCAAGTCTGCCTCTGAGGAAGACCCTCATGAGAAGGACAAGTCCCCCCAAAAGTGGAGGCTCCTGGAGTCCAGCCGCACCTCCCTGGCAGGCCTGAGTCTGGATCCCATGAGCCCTGAGCCACTTCCTTTCTTGGACCCAGAAACATCCTCAGAGACCAGTGGGATCACCTTTGCGGCTGGTCCTCGAGTCTCTCCTGATGTGCTGTATCTAATGGAAAACCTGGACACCAAAGAAACGGATATTGTAGAGTTCAACAGTGAGCAGACGGAGGAGTCTCCCAAGGGAAGGCCAGAACATCCTAGGACCTGGTTCTAGCCTAGATTCTTACTTCCCCAAAAGTTCAAGCAGTAGTTCCAGAACATACCTGGGGGCTGGTCAATTGTTTTTTTTAAATGATCATGCTGTGTAAGCTACTTAAAACTTTGAAGGGCATTATGATACTGACATTACGGGAAGATCAAACACATTCATGCTATCTACCACAAAGTGACTTTCATGGAAGTTACACAGACCACAGTGATGTACCTTAAATAAGGAATCATATAAATTCATAGATTGTTATGAATTATAAATTCATAGGTTGTTTTAAATTATAAATTCATAGACTGCCTTATAAATTCATAGATTGTTAAGCTTTGAAAAAGATTTTATAGATCACAGTCCGATCCCCTAGTTTTGCCAAAAGGGAGATGAATGATTCTCTGTTCCCCTTTTTTCTCCCCCCTTTCTTCTTTTCTTCAGTTATAAAGACAAGGAGATGGATCATATGATGCCTCAAAAGCCCCCTCCTAATGCCAATTTCCCTGTGTGCGTCTTTCTCACCATCTCACTCCGCTTTCTATAACTATTATCATTTCCTAATTCTCAAGTTTCATCAGCATCAGGAAGCTCCATCTCCCTGCAACTTTCCTTTCAATTTTCAGGACTTACTTTTCCTCTCCTCTGCCTTTACTTCCTCGTCCTTTTGTCCTTCTCGGGCCCCTAGTCTTTCTCCCTGTCCAGTGACTTTAGTCCACCCCCCACTTTCAGGCTGTAACGTTTTCTCCGCCGACTCTGTTGCTTACTCCCTGCCATGATTTTCAAGGAGGTTTTGGCAAAGTTTCCGAGGGAGCAATTCAAGTGTCAGTTCATCCAGCCTGCCTTCTCCCAGCCTCACAGGAAGGGGCGTGGGAGCTTTCTGATCCCCACCACCCCCTCTCAGCCGGGCCGGCTCCTTCTGCAACCAGTCTCAGGTCCTGAATACTGGGGAAGCCATGAGGGCATGATAGCTGCATAATCAAATGCTTCAGAAGCAAAGAACAAGGTTTGAAACCGTTCCACTCAGTCTTCAAGTAAAAATTCCCATTACGTCACAACACGGGACCAGTTACTGTGTCTGGCAGGTTGTCTGGGATGAAGTAGGGTGTTGGAGTTAGGGATCCAGGATCACAATGGGGAGGGGACATTGACTAACTTCCTCCAAGGAGTTCTTGGTCTTATCTGCTGGGGGCTCCCAACTTTGCCCGGAAGGCCATGTCTAAAGAATACTGCTCTATTTCGGTCATATGATGAAGCTTGACTGCAAGCTTAAGAAACAAAATAATCCTAATTGCTACCACTTATTGAGTGTTCACAATAGCATGTGAAGTTCACAGATAATCCTACTAATCCTCACAGGAATCCCATGAATTGATATACTATTAGCTCTATTATTTTTTTTTTAACCTTGCCTATGACAGTCCCGTTTATTTTTTAGTTTTTTTTAACCTATTCATTTTTTAATTGAATGATAATTGCTTTACAGAATTTTTTTGTTTTCTGTCAAACATCAGCATGAATCAGCAATAGGTTCTATTTTTTACCTATTTTTAATCTATTTTTAAAAGAAGTCTTTTGTTTCTTAACGTTAGTTATTATTATTCTCTTATTCAAATAATATACCTTAGACCAATGCTTGTTTGCTTTCTTTCTTTTTTTTTTTTTGACTGCATGTCATGTGGGATCTTAGTTCCTGGACCCCAACCCCCTGCAGTTAAAACCATGGAGTCTTAACCACTGGAACACCAGGGAAGTCCCTATCTCCATTTTAAAGATGAAGAAAACAGAGGCTTTAGAGAAATAATTTGACTAAAATTACCAAACTAGGAAATGGCAGGGCTCAGATTCAAGCCCAGGTTTCTCTGACTCAGAGCCCACACTCTGGTCCAGCATGCTTCATCCCTCTGCTGCGTTGTCTGTAGGGCCCTGGATCTGCCAGCATTTTGCCCAGAATTCTGGAGGAGGCCCCACGGGAGCCGGACATAAGACTCTCCCGCCTTGGAGGCCTGTCCCAGTCCTCCCCGTTGACGTCCACCTTGACATTTTATGCACGCACACAGGAGGGCAGTGTTCCAGCACGCAGCCTAGCCATGGTCCTCTTCATTTCTGTGACAGAAGAAAATTAGCAGAACCCTCACCTCCCTTCCCCAACTTCTCCCAACAAGCAGTGTTACACATGGCACGTTTTTACAAGACATGGCACCCAACGGGCCACCCCAGTGGCAAGACAGCAATGACATTTACTTGAACTAACATTTTGCAAAGAGCTAAAAGGTCATAACATTGGAAGAAATGGTATCCAGATGGTTCTCTATATTGGTTAACAGTGTTACACCTGGGAAAGGTACCTGCATTCCTGAAGCATAATCTACAGACTATGAAGTCAGGCCCCAATGCAACACAGCTATAACACAGGATCCCTAACCTTTCCCACACTCTTTCCTTTAAAATACTTACTTGTTTATTTGGCTGTATCAGGTCTTAGATGCAGCACATGGGCTTCTCTAGTTGCAGAGCATAGGCTTCTCTCTAGTTGTAGCACGTGGGCTTAGATGCCCCATGGTATGTGCAATTTTAGTTCTCCAACCACAGATGGAACCCAAGTACCCTGATTTGGAAGGCGGGTTCTTGCCACTGGACCACAAGGGGTGTCCCTCTTCCAATCTCTAAATGCTATTTTCTTGGATGTTTCAACTTAAATCTTCTAATCTCTTCTCTTTGGCTTTATCTATTGCTCAAATTCAAATAAGCTTCTACTTAGCTGCTTTTGAAATATAATCAATTTCTGTCCCTAAATCCAAGGTGATAAATTATACACAACTAGAATCATACATTTTGTGGAGGACTAGGAGGGTTCATTTATCTCTGCCTCCCTCCACCTTTGTCCAAAGAATTATTTAACTTCCTCAGTATTTCATCAAAATTTGAGGTGGCCTCTATTTCCTCCTTGCACTGAAAACTGAATAATGGCTCACTCAATGAGTCCATGTGGTTGAATTCAGCTATAAATTCCAGCCAACAGTTGCCTAGATCAGATGAAGAAATTCCCTATAAAGTGAGTTTATGGAGACAGACGGAAGTGGCAAAAACAAAATAATTTCTTCTCCTGTGCCTGATTTTATTGTCCGCCGAGCCCATTTTCACCTACATTCTGGAAACTTCCACCTGCTGGATGAATGTTCATAACAACCAGCAGCTTAGTCGTTTGGGCTTATCCTTTCCAAGAACAGGCTCAGCTCTGCTCTGCATTAAATGTAATCCACAAGCCAGAGGTGCGATAAGGCCAAGCCCTACTTATTGCATTCTCCTTCTGTTCTCCAGAAATGACAACTCTGCCCTGATGCTTGGGTCCACAGGTCAGTAAAAATAAAGGCCCAGGAGCTTTTTCTCTGTCATCTAAGAATGTAGGGATAACTGCCCACTCCAAAACAAAGAAGGCTGTTCTCTCCTCTCTGTAACGGTCCGGTCTATTTCTTGGGTCACTGCCTCCACTACTCTAGGCATCCACTGCAGCCCAGCTCAGCTAAACTCTGGAAAATATATTTTAAATAGAATGGAGAAATATATAATTTACCATTAGTCTAAAGAAAAAACTCACTTAACCTTTGTACACCTCTCTTTTTAAGTGTTTCCCCCTCTAGCTTCCTCCTTCTCCAGAGAAACTGATTCAATCCTCAGTCATCATTCTGAGACCTTCCTATCATAAACTCTGCTCTCTGAGAATCTGCTGAGGCCAGGCGGCCATGTGGTATGAGAGAGACACCCAGTGTCTGACTCGTCTCCCAGGGGCTTTGTGAACTTCAGTGATTCAGTGAGCCCCCTCCGTCTGTCTCTCATATTCCCATCTGTGAAATGGGTTCTTCTCTGCCCCACCTCATTGGCCATCGTGAGGAATTGAGGGAGTTTATGTGAAAGGCAGGGAGCCCCAGGCAGCACTGTGTGGGTGATGGGTCTGACTGGGAATTGATGTCTCCATAGATCTGGCACCAACTGCAGAAAAAAAGACATCAGTCATTTGCTTATCAGGATCCCCTGTTCTCCAGGATTCTAATCTCCTTCATCCAGATAGCTTCCAGTTTCTCTTTTGGCTTCATTCCCCCCCCAAATGCTTCTTGATGTGTCATGCATCCTCCTTTTCTCCAGTTTTTCTCATTCCTTCAGTCCCCACAACAGACCAGCCTCATCACCATGGTGACAAACTCTGCCCCTAACCCATTTTACATATCAATTCTCTCAATCAAAATATGGAACTAGAAAATTTCCTGGCTGTCCAGTGGTTAAGACTCTGAGTGTCCACTGCAGGTGCTGTGGGTTTGATCTCTTAGTTAGGGAACTAAGCTCCCATAAGACATATAGTGCAGCCAGGAAAAAAAAAAAAGAATTAGAACATGGAGATGTTCTAATCTAATAAAAAAAAAAAAAGTGAAACTAGAGAATGATCAATTTCCTTTGTCCTTTTCACTATAATTCTAGAGGATTTAGCATTCTTTTTTGTTTTGCTTTCTTTGGTTTTTTTATTCTCTAGTTTTGGGGAGTGGCAGTTTCTCACTACTTGCTTCTCATTGCAGTGGCTTCTGTTGCCGAGAACCGGCTCTAGAGCGCACAGCTCAGTAGTTGCGGCACACAAGCTTAGGTGCCCTTTGCGTATGGAATCTTCCTGAACCCAGATCAGACCCATGTCTCCTGCATTGGCAGACAGATTCTTAACCTCTGGACCACCAAAGAGGCCCGAGGATTTAACATCTCTGGTTTGCAATGAGAGGACCCTCTTAGGGCCTCAATCTTCCTAAACCTGGCCCTGTATCAGTGAAGAGTGAATAATAACTACCACTGTAAAAGAAATTTCTAAACAAGAGCACAATTAAAATCTAATTCCCTTCCCTCTTCACAATCATCCTCAGTCATTTTCTGATGTGCCTGTGCTGTGCTATCAATAGGAATAATGACAGATTTTCCTCATTTTGTCTTTCAAACAATCTCAGGTAGATCGTCAATCCTTTCACATGCTTTCCATTTTTCTTGGTTCTATGAACCCTAATTTTTAGGGCAGTATTTTCATGGCCATGATTATTGAGTCAAAAGAAGCCATTCAAGAATACCAAGATTGTTCTTGTATTGCGAATCTTAGACAACCCCAGCTGTGGCAAAAAGAAAACTGAAGCAATTACCCTGGAAAACAGGGGCACAAAAAACACATTGATCTTAATTACTCTATTAATTCTGTGTGGAGATTTCGTTTTTGTGTTTTGTTTCTGAATTAGCTCAGAAAATGGGCCCCAGTTCTCCTTTCACCACAAGTAGATTTGGCCAGATGATTACCTAGAACCATCTTTTCTGTTTGTTTCACTTTGTTTTTGGCTGTGTGGCATGCAGGATCTTAGTTCCCCAACTAGGGATCAAACCTGTGCCCCAGCACTGGAACCATGGAGTCTTAACCACTGGACCACTAGGAAAGTCCCTGCAACTGTTTTTCTGACCAGCTAGTGGTCCCTGGTGGCTCAGTGGTAAAGAATCTGCCTGCAAGACAGCAGACACTGGTTCGATCCCTGGGTGGGGAATATCCCCTGAAGAAGGAAATGGCAACCCACTCCAGTATTTTTGCCTGGGAAATCCTACGGACAGAGGAGCCTGCTGGGTTACAGGTCACAGGGTTGCAGAAGAGTCAGACACGACTTAGTGACTGACACACACGTGTAAGATATTTACCTAACAGAAGCAGCAAAAGGCATGTTGTATCTTGTTTCCTGAAGATGGATAAGAACATTTCTAAAATAGCTTTTGAGCAGAAACACTGATGTGTCCCAAGTTCTTTGTCTAGCTAGTGGTTATTGACCTGAGGTGATTTTGTGCCCAGGAAATATTTGGCAATGTTTAGAGACATGTTGTCACACTGGGGAGTGTTACTGGCATCTAGCGGGTAGAGGCCAGGGATATTGCTAAACATCCTGCAATGTACAAGACAGATGGTCACAACAACCATGGAGCCCCAAATACTCAGGTTAGGAAATTTAATTTAGGCCAATAGAAAGATGGGCTTCCCTGGTGGCTCAGTGATAAAAAACCCACCTACCAATAGGAGACAGAGGTTTGATCTAGGGATTGGAAAGATCCTCTGGAGAAGGAAATGGCAACCCACTCCAATATTCTTTTCTGGAAAATCCCATAGACAGAGGAGTCTGGTGGACCACAGTCCATGGGGTCGCAAAAGAGTCTGACACGACTTAGTGACTAAATAACAACAGAAAGGTAAAAATGAGACAGCCACCAAGCAGATGCATGAAGAGAGATGTGCTAAAGGAAGAAGTAGAATCACAAGAGAACAGATGAGCCCAGCAACTGGCTAAATTCTTTTTCTGTGTATAAACTATGAATGAATCAACATTTATCCCATGATGCTAAACAATATGCCATATCCAGA